TTCATCCTGCAGGTGCCAAGTTTCCTATTAAGTGGACAGCCCCTGAAGCGGCTCTGTATGGAAGGTTCACAATCAAGTCGGACGTGTGGTCTTTTGGAATCTTACTCACAGAGCTGGTCACCAAAGGAAGAGTACCATACCCAGGTAAGAACACAGACCTGAGAAATGGGTGTCTGCTGGGTTCTATTTCAACTTCATTTTCCAGGAGTCTTGGCCAGCTGCCTTTCTAAGCCCTGTGCTCAGCCTTCTGCCAAGATATTTAGCCAGGGGGATGCAGAATTAAGAATTGCCGTGCCCTATACACCAAATTTAATGTGCTAAGCAGCTGGTATAAATGTTCCAGTTCCCACCGGTCATGGAATTTGTCCTGTCTCAGTAGGTGCGTGTGTCACTGCTCCCACAGCAGACGTGTCACTGGCAGAACCTGTGCCCAGTGCAGCTTGTGGACATGTCTGGGAGAGAGCAGGAGAAAAGGTCCTCTTGCCTTTCAATCTCACTGTAGCACTGACCCACAGAGCAAACCCGGCAGGAAGATGCCAGAACCTATTCTTCCTGATGCTCCAGCTCCAGATGGTCCTGGAGCAGAGGTACAGGAAAGGCAGTTTAGACTGACCAACCTGTTCTCTGCCTGCTGCAGAATGGCCAGAATACACAAACGGGGGGAAGGGGGGTATTAGGATGGAGCAGAAGCCTCTGGGAGCCTGCAGTTGTTCTGGGCTATCAGATGCTCCTTCTCTGAGGACGCTGTGGGTTAAGGTTATCCATGCTTAAATTCATTAACTTAGGCAGACGGAGACATAAAGGACACGCGCCGTTTCGCCTCCACACTTTACTGGTTTCAGTGCAGAGACGATCTGCTTTGTAAAATGTTAAGGACATATTTTTCAGTTACTGCTGAGCAAAGAAAGAGCATAGCTGGCTCACTCTCTTCATTCCCTGCCTTTTAAAAAGGAGCTTTTAAAAAGAAAGAAAAGAAAAAGCCCAGAGTGATGGAACTGAAGGTGGAGATTAATGAGGAGTGTAGGTCTCTTGCAAATCCTGGGCTTGTAATCATATCTGCAGTCAGAGGAGCCAGCGTGAGCAGATTAATTTGTAATCCCTTTGTTCATTTTGTCTGATTGTTTCTGGTCATCGTCAGAGAACAGAGAAATGTTCATAAAGAGCCTCTCTGTCTAGACTAGCACTGTCTCAAGACCTCTAAGGGAGGATGGTTGGCACTGAGGCAGAAATAGCAAAGTAACCGTCTCTGAGCCCAGCCCAGCATTGGGAAGTGTGGGTGTGTAAGTCAGCTTTATGGATGCTGCTGCTGCTGCGGTGGCTGCGGCTGCTGCTTCCAGCATGCACAAGTGGGCAGACACTCTGGAATAGTCAACCGACAGAGAAGAAAGGGCTACCCAGGAGGGGGTGGGGCCCAGCATGGGTGCTTTTTGTGAATTGCTTCTCAAGGATGAAAATATACCATCTCCAAGTTCTAAAGATGAGAAGGCACTTTAAAAAAAATTATTATTGTCTACATTTTGAACTAGTTTCTTCCTGATCTCCCCAGGTTTATAGACACCCGGTGTGTTAAAAGCAATCACGGGGAAAAGGTTAATGTTGTTTTGCATTTCCATGAAGCCTTCTCTTCCAGTAACACAAGCTGCTTTTTGTTCCTGGGTCACACACATGGAGGCCAAGACAAAGAGGTGAAGGTGGGGGCTCAGAAGAGGAAGTATTTGGAGACCAGGGTTTTGACAGGTTGGGTTTTAGAACAAAGAAAATAACCTAGGTGTACAAGTTAGAATGGATTCATTCACTCTGCGTCATTCTGTGCGACCTGGCCTAGCGTTTGTTCCCTTGGGAAACAGCACAGGTGAGCCATTCAGCTGTCAGGTGGCACTGATGAGTCCCTGTCCCAGAGTAGGTACTGTTCGCCTGGAGGGGAAACAGTGTACCCACAAATAGGCCCACGCCCACGGGCTTTACTGTCGGTAGAGTATGTGTACCGTGTGTGGAGGATAGATTCCTTAGCTGTGCTTACCGTGTGTGCTCCCCAACCTCAGTTCTCATTACATGGCAGAGCCAGGGACAGAAGACAGGCCCTGAAGAGAGCAGGAGTCAGGTGAGCACGGAGTCCAGCGTAGGTGTGTATTTGTGCCTGTAAGTGTTGATCTGTCATAGGCTTCCATGACTGCCCCTGTCTGCAGGGCCACAGGCAAGTAAATGAGACCATGGAGCGCAAGAGGTTTGCTCACAGCGAGCAGGATGAATCCTGCCTGGCACCCGGAGAAGCTGCAGAGACTCACTGAGCCATAGGGAGGGTCTGAGACGATGGGTGAGGGGATGGAGCGGTTGTGAGGACCTGTGTGCTGCCCCCGAAGAGACAGCGGAGCCTGGGAGGTTGACTTGCTAGCCCAGGGAGCTGCTTGCAACGCAGAGGGCATCCCGGACCTGTTCTCATAGCCACGGACACTGCTTAGTTTTCATTTTTTAGCTCAGCCACAACCATATTCAATTGGACTTCTGGATATGACAGGAACGCCGAAGGGAGAAGCTTCTGCAGAGAAAACGCAGTTACAGGATTGCAAACGTAGCGAGCGGAGGATAGCAGTTCCAGGCACAAACCTTTTCATTAAGCACCATCCACGTGTCACCATGGTTGTTGGTGTGGCCCAGTCCGTCAGCCTGGACCGAGGGCTCACCTGGCTTCAGCTCTCCTGCACGGAATCTGTCACTCCCTGCTGGTGGGAGTCCAGGAGAAATTCCTAGTCCCTGTTTATCAGATGCTTCCATTGTGCACTTTGACAGTCATTTCTCAGTTGCCTAGAATGTATTTGCAAGTAATTCTCTTCTCAAGAACGGTAGGTGGTGGTAAACTCACCTGAGTTCTTTCATACCTGAGAATGGTCCTCTGTCCCCATGTCACCTAGGAAGGTACACTGGCTCATAAGTGACAGAGAAAGGAGATGGGGACTGACTTATAAGTAGATTTGGCAAAACTTCCCAGACATTTCTACCCAGCATGTAGGTCAGTGCAGAAGTGAGCAGATCCGAGAGTAACTCGAGAGGCGTGGCCAGATGAAGGGCAGGTTAGCACTGAGTGGGCGTGGCCAG